GGGCGTCCGGCTGCGCCCCGGGGCCGGGGAAGGCGGAAGAGGCTCGGGAAAGCCGCGAAGCCTTTGCGTGACTGAAAGGAGGCAGTTTGGACCCCAGGGACCGAGCGGGAGGTAGCCCGCCCCTGCGGCTGGGAGAGAGGAGAAGAGCTTGTCGCCGCTCACGCAGAGGGGAAGCTGCCTGAGGGCAGGGGAGAGGAGCGCAAAACACAGAGACAAGACTGGGGGTGGTACGAAACCTGACTTTCGCTCTGAAAATGACAATAGCAAAGCGGTCTCACGGGACAAAACCCTACTCGCGAAACTGGCCGTAGGTAGGAGGCTGTTCGTGCTACACGAGAGGAGAAGAGCTTGTCGCCGCTCACGCAGAGGGGAAGCTGCCTGAGGGCAGGGGAGAGGAGCGCAAAACACAGAGACAAGACTGGGGGTGGTACGAAACCTGACTTTCGCTCTGAAAATGACAATAGCAAAGCGGTCTCACGGGACAAAACCCTACTCGCGAAACTGGCCGTAGGTAGGAGGCTGTTCGTGCTACACGAGGGCCATGTTACCTACCCGAAGCAAAAAAGGGGCGCTGTTGCTTTCAGACTTTTTACCTCTGGTAAAGTTAGTACAGGGGGAACGCGGCGCCCTGGGACTGAGCCTGAACTGCGGGTAGGAGTGAATGTCAGCTGGGCAACGAGGAAGAGGCGAAGGAAGCATTTTAACAACAGGAAAGAGTTACTGCATCAGTGTCTGAAACAAGATGCTCTTTATTGTCCAGATTATCCCTCTGCATCAAAGACATAAGTATCAAAGCAGTTACACGTGTGAATGTAAAAAATGTCTACACTTCTAAATGCTGTTCTGAGCACAAGCTTACCTAGTGTAAAATATTTGTAACGAATTAAATATTAGGAAGAAACAAAGTTGGAATCTGGCATAACATCAGACCTCAGAAACAGAATTAAATACAACAGCGGAGCCTAGACCCTAACTAAGCACCACTGTTAAAAAAAATTATAGCAGAAAAACCACAACAGTTTGAGGAGTTCTCTGTCCTGGCCATTATTTCTTCTCTTGTCCCACCACCATCATTTAAAAGGAACAGGATTACCAAAAGATTAAACAAGGATTTCTACTATATCTGCTAGAAGCATAGTTCTTATCATCTGTAACTCTCAAAAGATTGTCTTCAAAATACAGTGTTGAATAGTACTGCCATACTGAGGTTTCTTAGCATTTCATAATTTGTAGGCAACACAGCTAAGCTGAAGTTTTGTTAACAGTATTCTACGTAATGTATTACTGGAGTAAGGACATTCATGTTCAGAAAGACGTGCTAGTGAGGTGAAAATTCATAGAAATGAAGGACAATTAAAACTTGGTTTTTGTATGCTCCAATCACGTTCTAAGTAAAGTATCTAAAATTTTAATACACGTTCACATCTTAGTTAAAGCTATAAAGAGCCTCACACAGAAGAGCTGCAACATGAAGATAACATAATTCACAAACAGGGAGTTACACAAGAGAACTTTCAAAAACAAATGTAGGTAATGAACTGGCTAATGTGTATACCACTGCCCTCTATTGGACAAATTTCACCATTCAGGCCTGCTGGTATCAGTACAAGTATTCCAGGTTGACAACCAAGTATAGATGACATTTGACTAATTGTATTTATGCATGATTTAAGCCCCATCTTCTGTCCCAAGTAGTTAATCATTCTCCTTTTTTTTGTGTCCTTTCTACTCTGATAAATGAAGAGGGTGCTTATTGTGTAACAGTTCTGTTCCTTGGGGAGCACTTGTGCATGTGAATGTGAGATGTATTACAATTGCAAGGGAACATTGTAAGTTTGTAATATTGATACTTTGAGTAGTAGCAGATTTGAGTATAGCAGGTCAATTTTACATTTGGAACAGAAATCAGTGACGAAACATCAAGAATCTTGACAGGGCTGTCCTTAGGATTTATGGGGCCCAGCACAGTACTATTAAACTGGTGCCCCTATGCATGCTTGGAGCCTGGGGGGACATAATTTTTTAAAAGTGTGATTTTATAACCTTTAGAAACACACTAAGGAAGTATTTTAAAGCAAATTTTAAACTGAGGCCCTGTAAATTAACACAGTAAATTCTGAAACTGATAGTATATAGCTGGGGGTTCCAAATACCTATTAAATAGCTTTATTACCACTTGAATGGCTCTCTCTCAGGTTCCATGTTCTGCTAATAGGTCTGGCAGGCCTTTAAAGTTAATTAGCTTCTCTCCACAGAGTGAGGCCAGATCAACACTAGACCTGGCAGCTTGCCGTAAGATAACCAACTCCAGTTATGCAGAATACATAGCAGGAGTCATTTTACCTTAAGCTGAGCTTGGTGGCATCCCCACAGCAGGAGGCCAATGGGAGCCAGTACTCCTGTTGGCTTCCCTTACTCCCCACAAGAGTAAGGAGTACCAGATGCCAAAGGGGATGCCCTCTGAATTGGATTTAATGAGTCTTAACTAGACTTGCTAAATCAAACTTCAGAAGATTGATCATAGCAGCAGTGATCTTCTGTGAAGACAATCCCTTAGATTCACTAGCCTGCAGCAGCCAAAGAAGAGGGCTAGGAAGAGGCAAGTGGATGGACATTAAGACCCAGTGGTGTCCAAAATTTGTGAGTGTCTTAGACAGCTATGTATTCTGTGTACAAGTTAGGGATGTTAAAATGTGTTTGAGGTAAATGTATAACTACTGAAAATTTCAGCAGTTATATATTTACACAGGGCGGGGGAGGCAGCTCCCCATTACTGCCTCTGTATCAGAGGCAGCAGTGGGAGGTGGAAGGCAGGAACCAGTGCTTGTGGGGAACCCACTTTTAAGCAGGCCTGCGCACCCCATTCAGGTGGTGGAGAGGAGGGAGGATTGCATGAAGATTAACCAATTAACCAAGAATTACTGTTTAACAGTTTACATTATCCATATCCTAAATATGGTGGGTAAGGATAGCCCTATATTTTGGTGTAATTTGTGTATTTCACCCTGCTTCTCATGATTAGACAGGGTATGTAGCAAACTAAGTTGTGTTTTCTAGTAATCCTATGTCTGGAATGCTCTTCTGTAAATTGTTGAGTGAAGAATGTGTGTGAAAATCATCAGGAAGGTTCAGATAGTCAAAAAGACTTGAGACACTTGAAGATAAGAGATCATCCATGGTACCTGAGGGTAGATGAAGGCTGAGGAAGTTAGCAGAAGAGCAGGACCCTGGAGACAGGCAGACACTCCTGAAGGTGCAAAGACCAACAAGAGATAATGAAGCCTGACCACAGACATTAAAGGATAATTGTGGGGAAATACCAAGATTAAACATCAAGAATTGCATCATGCCACTGCAAAATCCATAGACTCCAATGGGAACACACACACACACACACACACACACACACACACACACACACTCTCTCTCTTTTTTTGTGGGAGAGGGAGAAAAAAATTAGAGGTTTGCTCACATCCAGAAGCAAAATAAAATTTATTGTTACCATGCATGACTTTTTAAAACCAGGCTTCAGAGCATGAACACATGGCACTGAACAATGTTACTAAAAATTATGACTTATTTTAAGTCTAGTAAATCAGTGCGTGTAAGCTACATATCCAGTATCTGTATATCATCCAACTCTCCCCCACTGCAATTATGCTGTTTACACAGAAAAGCTGGACTACTTCCTATAGCTCCACTATTGAATAAGCTACAGTGACTTTGAGAACTGAAAAAAATAAGATTTTCAACAAAAAAAGCAAAGTGTCTCAAAATGAAACCACAAGAGTAGTAGCTATCATGGTAAAACTGCACAAGAAATTCCTTAGCAGCATGTTTCTGAGGAGAATTACAAGCTTTCAAATGTCCACATTTGGCTAGTAATCTCAACAGATCCTATTACACACTTTCAACTATTCCCTTTCTTTACACTTTGTGTAAAAGTTTCACTATTTTATAATAATTATTTTGTTTATTTGCATAAAAGTAGTTGGTAACAGAAATAACCAGTAGCCCTTAAGTCGAAGATGGAAGCTAAATTTGTTCTTTGTGGTTCCTGGTGCCGTCATTTATACACATCATACATGATGGAGCACTGGATGCTAATTTATAATATAATCAAAGGACAACAAATAAATATTATGAGATATATCAATTATTGGTAAATCGATATGCTAAAAGAAAAGGAATATAAAAGTATTGTGCCTCTGGATACATTAATGTGGAATGATAAATTCTAATCAAAATTACTGGTCTCTGAACTGTGCTCAAGCCCTTAAAAGATTCCTTCTTTGATGATGTTCCATCGGAGCTGCTCCTTACAACTTAAAGACATTGCAATATGCTACATTTGTATTTCAGAAAAAAATATAACAGTCAAAATGTCACACTCTTGCCAGCATTAGTGGTAAAAGCAATTCTTTTCTCTTCTTTTGCAATTGAGCCCAGGCGCCCCTGGGCTGCCCGAGCCCCTCCGCGGCTTTGCTCTGCCTCTTCCTGGTCTGCAGACCAGGGAGACGCAGAGAAAGCCCCAGAGTACACGGGCGGCAGGACCGCGAGGTCCCGCAGTCCGTGTACTCTGGGGCAGCCCTGTTCGTATCTGCGGATCTGACGTAAGTCGGATCCGCGTAAGTCGGGGACTGCCTGTATATAAAGTAGAGCACTCTTGCCATTAGACTTTGGGTTTAATCCTGCCAGCCAAGCCTCAGAGGAGCCTCAAATTATCATCAAAACACCCCGACTCCTAGCTTGGTCAGCCTTGCCTGGCTGGCAAGACAGACTTGAGCCACAATAGACTGGTAACTATGCACCCTGGCTGTGTCTACAGTGGCGCGATCTTGCACAAAAGCACAAAACGCTCTTGTGCAAAAACTTGCTGCCTGTCTACACTGGCCGCGTGTTCTTGTGCAAGTAAACTGATGTTCTAATGTATAAAATCAGGGCTTCTTGCACAAGAACTCTGACGCTCCCACTCAGGAATAAGCCCTCTTGCACAAGAGCTCTTCCAGAAAAGGCCAGTGTAGACAGGCAACATGAATTTCTTGCGCAAGAAAGCCCTATGGTTAAAATGGCCATCAGAGCTTTCTTATGCAAGAGAACGTCTACACTGGTATGAATGCTCTTGTGCAAAAGCACATATCTTGTGTAAAAGCACATGCCAGTGTAGACGCTCTCTTCTGGAAGAGTTTTTTGCAGAAGACCTCTTCTGCAAAAGAGTTTTTACATGAGAACGCGCCAGTGTAGATGTAGCCTTTGTGTGTGTCTCTCTCTCTTTAGGAAGCATATGCAAGCTGCTCTGATATTGTATTCTTCATCAACATGGTGTCTTGCCTTTTCCCCTAAAAAGATCGCGTGCTTCTTATAAGCATAACAGAAAGACTATCAGATTTTAACAGCAGCAGCTCCAGCCTATCAGAACGCATTTCTTTTTCTCCTAAAAGGGGAGTTTTTATCGTCTTTGATACAGTACAAGAGACTGTCAAACAAGGGGACAGGAAGGTTCCTTATAAAGAGCTTTCTCCAACAAAGGAAATGGAACAAGGGATGTTGTTAAAATTGAAATCTTAAGTGATATTTTATATTTCAAATATTTTTTTCTTCCTTTAATTTGTATTTAATAAGAGGATAAAAATATATTTAATGGAGTTTTTTCCATGGTACAAAGCAGGCTGAGGTCTCTGTATTCCAAATCTTATTTAACACTATTTAATCTGTTGATATTATATTAACACATATGACCCACATAGTCCATTTAAGTCAATGTGTCAATGCAGAGGAAGCATATTTTGTTCCAAGTTAAGGATGTTAAGGAGCAGGTATTTAGCTAATTGTGTAGTTGACACACTACACAATTAGTCAATAAGGGGAGGCGTTCTGCAGAGCTACAGCGTGGGTGTCTCTTGGAGCTGGCATAAGCTGGGACTGAGCAGTCCTGGCTTGCAACTGCTCCAGGACTACTGCAGCTCTGCCTTTTAAATGTATTAAGAGTTGCATAGCTCGGCAGAACCACAGTGGTCCCAGACCTGCTCACATCTGGTCCAGCAGCCCATTTGGGGCAGCCCAGGCTGGCTGCGAACAGGGGCTGTTGCCGGAGCAGCCTCTGCTCATGGCCCACTTGGGGCGCCACAGGCAGAGGTTGCTTCAGATCAGCCTCTCCATACCAGTGTTCCCTCTAATCCTACTCTAAATCACCTGTGAAGCTTTGCTGCCACACAGCTTAGATGGAACACTCGGCTTTTAAGCTAGCTCCCCCCAGTACCGGCTCCTATGATACGAAGGCAGTGGGGGGAGCGACTAGTTGAGTCTTTTTGATTGACTACTCACTTACATCCCTACTCCAAGTACCTTCTGATTGCCAAACAGAAGAGTGGGTGAAGGCCAATTCTTGATCTCAGAGTGCTACCTTTATCATAATGCAAACATACAAGATGTTAACATTCACAGCTACTACTCTATTCCTGAATCTAGGAAACGGATTTGAGACCTGTGACCTTCAAGAACCATACTTACAGGTCATTCTACATCCCTGTCGAGATCCCTATGCTTTGTCATAGGTCAGGACTACTGTGAGTATTAAATCTTCCTTGTTTACCACCCCTAAAATATTTTAAAAAGTTGTCCTTGTAGTTGCCAACAATGTTCACTCTAAGCTGCTAGGCAACACAGCTTCACAGGTGATTAATCAGCCCTGCCCAGTCAGTCAGCTGGATGCATGGAGCCCTGTGCCTCTGACTGATCACCTGTGAAGCTGCGCTATTGCACAGCTTAGAAGGAACACTGGTTGCCATACAACTTTACCACTGGGGAATAATCATTTTCTCATATCTCAACAACTGGCATTCCTACATCCAAATTCAAACAGCAGTAAAGAAGGTTATGTCTCTCTTTGGAATGCTCAGCCTTGAGCTCAATACTGCAAAGTCCTCCCTCTTATCTCTGCAATGGGTAGGGTTTATCGGGACCATTCTATGCCACAATATCCAGAGCCTAGCTAGGAAAGGAAAGATTTCATTCTAACGTAGTTAATCACAGATCCAAATGAGCCCACAATTACTGCCAAATACTGCTTGCAGCTGTTCATGCATGTGACATCTTCTACCTTCATCACATGCCTACTTTTACACTGCCTCCAAGTAGGGATGTTAAAAAGCTTTTTTTTTTTAAATTTTTAGGTAAACATGTAACCACTGAAATTTCGAATATAAATATTGTTCTTACATTTCAATGATTACAGAGCAGTATAAGCAAGTCATTGCCAGTGTGATATTTTAGTTTGTACCAACTTTAGTAGTGCTTTTTTGTAGTCTGTTGTAAAACTAGGCAAATATCTAGGTGAGTTGATGTACCTCCTGGAAGACTTCTGCATATTCCTAGAGGTATACATGCCCCTGGTTGAAAACTACTGTTCTGAAATATCTTTTCACTCTGAAGCAAGAAGGTCTCTCTTTGACGAAGTCCCATCAGTAGCCTTCACAACATTTCATTCTCCTATAAAAAACGTCTTGGTATATGCTCACCCTATAGCTTCCAGATACATCAAATGGTCATTGAATCGCTTTCTGAATGTCAGAGGATCCACCAGAACTTGGGACTTGAACTTAGTTCATAATTTTCTGATGAAACCTCTCTTTGAGCACTAGATACATGTACCCTTCAAAACCTTTATTAAAAACTACTTTTTAGTAGCAATTACTTCTGCTTACTTAAAGAGTTAGTGAATTAGAGACTTTAACAGATGGCCACTCTTCCCATGGTAGTCTTCAAGGATAGGCATCCCCTGAATCACATCTGTGATTCTTGGAGTTGTCTTTGACTTCCTTATCAATCAGACAATGTGTTTGATCGTTTTCCACCCTAAACTTCAGACTAGGCAGGATGCAGCCATTCATATCTTAGCTGCTATGCAGCTGCTAAACGGTCATTCCCTCTAGCATCATAGCCCAGAGCTCAGTCTGTATCTGTTGCCTTTAAAATCTTCAAAGTTGTCACAAGTGCTTCCAATCACACATTCTTGAGGCACTGAGCTTTTGTGCAAGGGTGAGCAAATTCTGGCCCATGGGGCCAAATCTGGTCCACAGGGTTAGTTCCTGGCAGACCCCACCTCTATATTTACCTGCGCCTCTGCATGCATGAGATCATCACAGCTCTCACTGGCTGTGAATGCCCTGTCTGAACTGCTTCTCGCCTGTCCCATTGACTGTGAATGGTGATCTGTGGCCAACGAGAACTGTGATGCCCGATACCTGTGGAGACAAAGGTAAATACAGTTGTGACGGCCTGCCTGGGACTAACCCTGGTGGGCTGCTGGTTTTTTTAATTGCCCAACCCTGCCTTAGTGCATGTCTCTACAAGCTTGGCACTACCTTCACCTCTGCAAACTATTCTAAATCCGTCTCCTTCAGAGTATACTGCTCACAAGTCATCACAAGTGGAGCACCCATAGGAAAATGACTCAGAAAAGAAGAGGTTATTTACGTTGTTCAGTAACTGGAGTTTGAGATGCCCTATGGCAGTCATGCTCCTTTGGAATCTCATATACATCACACTGTAGCATCGATAAGGAACCGTATCCATTGTCACCCTATATACGCTCATTATAGAGCCCAAGGATACTTAGGGTACATGCATTTTCCTAAGGAGCTCTGCTATGAAAAACCTCTGATCAAAGATGCATGCATACCGCAGGCAGATCACCGATAGGAACAATAAATATCTTCAAGAACTGCAATTACTCCTGTGAGTAAGCCCTCCCCTTGCTCAGAATAGTACATTGCGTAACTCAAAAGTAAACTATTTGGATTTATAGGGAAACACAGTCTATGTTCTCAAAACCTTTAAAAAACCCATGAAGGCAGAGAGGATATGGGAAAAGGTTACACAATACAAGTAGACAGGGTGATGACTGGTACATTGGGCTAACTCTCCTTTTTTTAAAAAAAAAAAGTATATATAAATATTTGTCCCCAACTGCCATTAATTCCTTTTTTGTTCTGCTAATTGCCAATTTAATTGCTTCTCATTTTTAGTAATTTTAAAAAAATCAAATTTATTAAGGAAATAATGACCGACTTAAGCACAAAGAAGCTAGGAAATTCAGTGCCAAGATTTCCAAGGAATTCTTCAATCAGGAAAAAACCACAGGTAAGCTCACATCATTATGCCTCCTGTGGAAAGGGATCTATTTTATTAGACATATTTAATATACTTGTTGGATCAGCCTGGGGAATCTATTAAGATAGTTACTGTTATAATTAAATTAGATAAGGGTCTTCAGAGCATGCAAATAGTATGTAAATTAAACAAAATGTAAAAAAAAGTAATAAGAAATCCCACAATACTGGATGCTGCTCCAAACCAGTAGCAAAATACAACTAGAAACTGTGGTAGGTACTAGCAAATAAAACTAGAACACTGCATTAATCTAAAAGCTCACTCAGTAGTGAGCCATCCCAGCAATAAGATAGCAAAAGGATAGCAAACTTCCAGACTAATTTCTTTTTCATAACTTAATTCCTTATTTTCACAAGAGCTTTGAACAGGCAGTCCCTTGTTGTGACCATAAATAGAGTTACATAATATTGAACAAAATCAATGTAGCCAAAACAGGTCTTCTGCAACGGTAATAAAGGGACAGTTCATAATTTCCTTTTGGTACTTCAATTTTTCATTTCAAACATGTTTTCTTTGGGCTATGAAGTGTTCTGAAGACATGCATTAGAAATCCTTTGATACAGATCTATCTGTGCTGCTGCAACGAACAGAAGGGCTACGTCTACACTGGCCCCTTTTTCGAAAGGGGCATGCTAATTTTAAACTTCGGAATAGGGAAATCCGCGGGGGATTTAAATATCCCCCGCAGGATTTAAATAAACATGTCCGCCGCTTTTTTCCGGCTTGGGGAAAAGCCGGAAAAAAGCGTCTAGACTGGCCCGATCCTCCGGAATAAAGCCCTATTCCGGAGGATCTCTTATTCCTACTTCAAAGTAGGAAAAGCCAGAAAAAAGCGTCTAGCTTCGAAGTAGGAATAAGAGATCCTCCAGAATAGGGCTTTATTCCGGAGGATCGGGCCAGTCTAGACGCTTTTTTCCGGCTTTTCCCCAAGCCGGAAAAAAGCGGCGGACATCTTTATTTAAATCCCGCCGGGGATATTTAAATCCCCCGCGGATTTCCCTATTCTGAAGTTTAAAATTAGCATGCCCCTTTCGAAAAAGGGGCCAGTGTAGATGTAGCCAAGGGGTTTAGCATGTTACAGGTGCTGTGGGCATCTTAACTCAGCCTTCCCATGACTGTTAAACATTAAAGAAACAATACTATTTTAATGTAGTTTTCTGTATTCATTTGGCAAATGCTCACTGCAATTTAGTAATATTTAAAAGCACAACATGTCCCATGAAATGCATATCTTAAAAAGGGGCCAGTGTAGATGTAGCCAAGGGGTTTAGCATGTTACAGGTGCTGTGGGCATCTTAACTCAGCCTTCCCATGACTGTTAAACATTAAAGAAACAATACTATTTTAATGTAGTTTTCTGTATTCATTTGGCAAATGCTCACTGCAATTTAGTAATATTTAAAAGCACAACATGTCCCATGAAATGCATATCTTAAGAGGCCACCGATATGTTCCTGCAATCTGGTTTCCCTGCTTCTGCTTTTAATGTTTTTCTTCAGCTGATACTACTGAGCCAATCAATGTTTCCCTAGCTTGCATTAGAAAGGGGAGAGCAAGAGAAACGTGAAAGTGACACAATAAGGGATTGGAGAGCTGGCCTCCCTGCTGTTTCATTTAATGTTCCTTTTTCCCCCTGGATGGCTAATTCTATGATCAATTAGTAGTAGTAAAGGTTGGAGTCACAGAACACGTGTTCATTAGAAAATCTGTTCTCCAACAAAAGCTGAGAATCAATCATTTTCCTAGTATACTTGAAATCCCACATTCTTATTATAAAAAGGAATAGTTTGTACTTCTGCAATGTTTTCTGTTCAAAGCTGAGAGTACTTTACAGTGACAGTATGCAGAACTTTCCAACAAAACACTGAGCATTTTCCTCATTTTATAAATGGGGAGGAGAAGCAACCAGTTTAGTAGCCTAATATTCAAAGGTGCTGAACACCTCAAGCTTTCATTGGCATCAGTGGGATTTTAAAAAATATGCATCAGGCAGTAAGAAACTTGGCAGCAATTACACAGGAAGTTTGTAGAAATGAGATCTCCTGCATCCCAGTATTCTATTCTAACCACATGATCAGCCTTCTAAATTCTTTCTGAAAAGTGCCAGACTTGGTCAGAATACCTAAGACAACACACTTCATTAAAATGAGTGTCTGTAGAAAGATTTTTTTTCATATTCCAAGTAGCAATCAATGTGAATTATCACCATTTGTAAAACACAACAGTGATGAGATATGTAATTTTACAGATTTTCTCCCCAGTATTTAACTGCCTCTAACTCAGAATACATTTGCCAACAACTGAAAGTTAGAATCAACTCCCATAGGGTATGTCTACACTTTCACCCTCTTTCTAGAGAGGGATGCAAATGAAGAAATTAGAAATGGCAAATGAAGCCAGGATTTAAATATTCCATGCTTCATTTGCATAATCACATTATGGTGCTATTTCGAAATGAGACACTGTAAAGACGTGGTTATTTCAAGAGAAAACCCTTCTCTCAAAATAACCCTTATTCCTCTTACAACAGGAGGCTTTATTGAGCACATAAAGGAACTTTCAGGGCCCGTTGGCCTGCCCTCCCTCAGCACAACACGTCCAAGTCTCCCTTGCATCTGCATGGGCTATGCCTGCTCCTTCCGACCAGTTCAGAAGCCCTTTCCTTTCAGCTGGGCCTCTGATATTCCTCCCCAGCAGCTCCCTCCCCTGTTCTTTGTCTTCCATCCAGATAAACAGGGTTGTTGGGCCCCCTCTTCTCTGCCTCTCCTCTTGTCCATCCTTTGTTTCCCCTGGCTTCAATCTGTGTGTCAGGTCACCGGGGTCTTCTCTCTGCAGCCCATTGTCCTGTCACTGGCCAGAATTGGCTGCGCTGTCAGTGCTAGGTCTCTGGATCACTAGATTACTAGACAACTAACACTAATTGCCAATTGACATATAACAAACAAACATTATCCTAATGGTACAACCTCATTCAGAACACTCATCAATGGCTGCATGTCAAGCAGGACATCACTAAGCTTGATAAAGGATTTAATTGGCAAAAAACAAAGCCAATAAAAAGTGTGTGATGCTAGGAATCACATCACTGACTTGGAAACATTTTGTAATCCAAAGTATGTGGTTACTAACACCTCGTGGGCATCTAAATGTACATGTTGTACTAATGTGCAGGCATTTGGAAACCACTAATTACCAAGTTTCTTCTAAATGAGAAGGCAGGGAAAAAAATCTTGTTCAGTTTAAATCCAAAGCACATATTTTACTGACAAGTTCTAATGTCAAAATAATCTTTTCATCTATTGATTTTATAGATACTAAGTCCACAAGAGCCCATTATCATCATTCAGTCTGACCTCTTGTATAAAACAGGCCCAAAATAATTCCTAGAACATAAACCTTGGGGAAAAAATCCAGTCTTGATTAAAAAGCGATCAGTGTTGGAGATTCCATCACAACCTGTGGTAAAAATTGTTCCAGTGGTTAAATATTTCACTATTTTAAAAATGTATGCCTTATTTCCAGTCTGAATTTTTCTAGCTTTAGTTTCCATTGTCTAGCAAGCATAGCCAGGTGGGCAATACTGTAAAACAATGCAGAGTTAATGATTAGCCATTTTTAAAATTAGTATAACACATAATTCTTGTTGAAAGCAGAATCCCTTCCCCTCCTTTCTTTTTAAGAAGCTGTTAATGGCTTCAGAAACATGAATTGAATGTTCACAAAAGACAAAATGTTAGAAAGGAACTGTGCTAATTAAACAAGCATGCTACAATAAAGTAGTATGGCAAACAAACCATGTTACCTCTTACTGTCTTTGACATCTTATCAGTAGTTACTATGGCCCAAATACAAATATAAAACAGAGTTCATAAATGTAACAGCAAGTGAGTAGCTACTTTTACACAAATTGAGAAACTGGGTGTTTAATAGTAAAATTAATATGATTCTCACTAGAGAAGATCCAGTTAGTTATTATGAGACTTTATAAATTTCCTCAGCCTTCTCTGGCCATAACTAGTGAGTTGGGTGTGTAAAGAGGAATTCAGTGTCTTTGGAGGGGATAAAATATTTCCAGTCTGTCTTCTTGCTTGTGGGTTTGATGGAGGCAGGTGTCTGCCATATTGTTTGTGCAGCCTGCAAGATGGATGCATTGATGGGGAAGCGCTATTTTGAAGGTGGTAGTAGCTTACAACAGGTCCATGAGCTCATGTGGTTGTCCAAAGTAATACAGAGGACATCTGCCACTCTCTTAAAGAAGTCCTGGAAGTGGATACGTTAATTGGTAGATGTAGATGTGGTGGGCAGTTTGGTTTGCTGAGGTGAAAGGAATGCCCCACTGGCCATGGGTGAGGTGTCCCATGTGACTTCTGTTTGTATGTCTGGTATAGGTTCAGTATTGAAGTCCGCTTCCACTTAAAGGGCTGGAAGGGAAGGTTTGCAGACATGCCTCCATGTAGTGGGATGGTTACCATGTTCTGTTCTGTAGTAGCCCTTTTTTGAGGGCTTTGAATATTTTTATTGAATCTCTGACCCTGAGTTTTGTCTGGCGTTAGATGCTGGACTGATGAAGCAGTAAAAGCTTCAGGGGCAGCTCCCTATTCTTCTGTGTCCACACTTCTATTTTGAGACAATGAGCACATTTTGAGGGACATGGAACTCCCCTAGAGGACACATTCAAAGTGTCCCATATGACACAGGAAAGGCATTTCTGCAAGAGGAACAGCTCTTGTTCCAGGAGAGTCCAGCATGTTGAAACAAAAGTAGGGTTTTCTGGTTTTTTTGTTAAGACTAACTCTCTAGCTGTAACTCTAACTAAACACAAACACACACACACACACAGAAACTATGTTACTGAGACGTGCAGTGTGACAGTTGTACTCAGTCCCTGGCCAGGGATGGTAGAGAAGGAATTGAGGAGCCCAGATGGTGCACACACTATTTATATATTGACAGCTCACAAGGCAAAGGTATTGCTCTAAAAATTTCTGATCAAAGGCGCTGGGCTGCACCTTGACCGGACAGGAGCATCCATAGGAACATTTCTCAAAGGAAAAGGCTTGATTCTTTTGACATAAAAGGATAGTGCTAACTGTTCCTATGCGCTCTCACACCATGAATGGTCCATACCATGATGCTTCCATCTTATTGGCCTGGAGCGCCTTCAAGGTGGCTGATTAAGTCGTGATCTTGAAGAAACATTGTCTGGCATATTTATCATACCAGGCTTCCTCTTCCTGTTGAGCATCCTGCAAGTTTTCTTCAACATCTCAAACTGGGATGTGGGATGTAAGCAGAGAGTAATACTGCAACATTAGGTCCTTATCATTGGAGTCTCATTTATGAATCTGTGTATCATGACCCCCAAAGTTCCATTAAATTTCTTCATCAGGCCATTCGTCTGGTAGCAAAGGATGGCAACCAAATGGTTTACCCCGTCAGCTTCCCAAAGAAGTTTCATGGTCCCTGCAGGGAAACGAGTTCCTGAATTCATAAGGTTATCTGAGGGCCAACATACCCTGGCAAAAATATCTGTTGGTGCCTGGCACAAGCTCTTAGCCTCAATCTTCCCTAGAGCTACTACTTCAGC